CATCAGGTTGGTGAATGCCATCAGATGGTCTTCTGGGTTAGTAGTGCCGTCATAGGCGCCTACTAATACATTTTTCACTTTGGCCGGCTGAGCGGCTTCAGTAATTTCCTTGGAGAAGGCCGACGGCTGTTCGCCAAGTCTAAGCAACCATAGCTGCCAGTCCATAGGTTGGACATTTTTTGCTGCATGCCCACCAAACGGAGGTGGCTGCAAAAAATACTGTTGTTGCGGTACAAACGGTAAGTTTGGTACCGCCTGGTCGCTATGAAAGCCGAACTGACGGGAGGTGCCGCCTGACTGACTCTCATGATACGACTGAGTATGCCTCATCGAGGTATTGCACAGACTGTCTTGGAAGTTTGAAGTAGAGGCCGACTCTGACAATCGGTCACTCTTCTTCTGCTCTAGCAGTAGCCGAGCATCTGTGTATGTTTTCCTCGACCCGTCCGCCTGAATATGACGAATAGGTTTCCTCATTCCTGGAGTAGGAAAATGGTATTTTGTGAAATCAAGGGCAGGCGGCTCCCACTTCCTAGATTTAGGATGAGGGGTCGCCTCTCGCCCTTGAACTGGCTTCCTCTTCCGTGAAGTGGAGGGTTTCTTAGCCGACTGCTCCTTGTCCAGAGCAGGCGGCTTCTTGTTGATCAACTCTTGAATTTCTCCCTTGAAGTCCCTCATGAAGGTCATGAGTTCGTTCCTTGTGATGGGAGCAGACCCATCAGTCGGCTGCTGTCGAACAGGCGGTGCGCCTGCTGGCTTGGTGTGCCTAAGTCGTATGCAACCAAAAATATCACAACTAAGCTAACTGCAAATAAACGTAGTTCGGGGAGTCGAGTTCGAATCCACAGGGAAAAAGGGACTAATAACTGCAAACCTAAGTGGAATTACTCTAGGAACGTAGTAATCTAAGTAACAAGGGGGTTTTGACAAGCAATGGTGACAATTAAACTAAATCAGAACAATGAACGTAAATAGTATGCAATCAATGAGAATAACGGTCTTGGTTATGCGAAATCCACAATTGAACATACAAATTGATCATAGAAGCCTCTTCAATCAAACACTATTGAACACCTTGTTGTAGAATTCTAAATTCTAAATTCTCATAAGCTAGTTAGAAATAGCAAAGCGCTCCTTTCTAACCCTTTCTAATGTATAATTTAAGACAAGCGCTCTAAATCATCCACAAGAAGAACATAAACGGAGAAATCAACAAGGATTGAATAAATTAACACAAGCGGTCTAATTTCTTCAATAATATTATTCCCTCTTTAAGTTATCAATCAAAAGCATGCATTCATAACCCAAAGTTGCTACTTTGGAAAGATTAATTAGATGCAAGCGAATCTAACAATTCTAACCTAGCAATTGATTAAAGCAAATCATGAAATAATTCAAAGGAATAATAAACATTTAATAGATAATAAAGAGAAGAGAAGTCTCACAATTCGTAGCCAAAAGCTTCAATCTTTAACCAAGAATCCGGAAGATTAAGCTTCCATGGATTCTAATTCCAAAACAAAGAATTCAGGAAATTGCCAAGAAAACCCTAGAAAGATTTCACTTCTCTAAAACTTAATACTCATTAACTTCCCATTAATTTCAATAATAATAAACTATTTATATGTTTCTATACTTCAATAACATAAAAACAATAATAATAATAATGTAAAATCCAAAACACGAGCTAAAGCCGAGATAAACTGCTGAAAAAGAGCCAAAGAGTCCCGATATTCTGGAAGAGCCGCTGCCAGCTGCTCTGGACCCGCTGGCAGCGGCTAAGGCAGCAAAACGCTTCCTTCTTCTGGCTGACCCGCTGCCAGCAGCTCTGGCCAGCTGCCAGCGGCCCTTGGCAGCGGTTCCTGCTGTTGTAGCTCTCTTTCCTTGCTTCTTCTTCTAGCTTCGCTTCACCTTTTCCTCAAGCCTTCCTCCTTGCTCTTCCAAGCTCCATCACAACTCTCAAATCACGAGCCAAGATCCATCCTCCATATTTCTCCTCATTAGTTCCCGAAATCACTCACTAACACTCATAAATCCCGTCTTTTGCACATAAGTGAGATCACCGCCCGAAACTCACAAAAGGTATTAAAAACTCATGCACAACATCAAAACACACCCTAAAACTCTTCTCTCAACCCTTAATAAAAGGCTCATCAAATTCCCCCATACTTGAACCTTTACTCGTCCTCGAGTAAACTTAGAGAATAAAACACATCCTCCCCTCTAAGGTTCAAAACAGAAGATGGTGGAATCGAACAAGCTCTATGCATTCAAACTCAACAAAACATCCTAGCAACCACCAACTAACCACCTTCACATTTCACAAACTCCCTTTTCCATTCTAAATTAAACTCATCCCCCAAAATCAACCTAGAACAATAAACATATAGCCAAGAGTAGAAATATTCTCAACCATCCTAATACATGAAACTTTTGATAAAATTGGGCAAACAAGACTCAACTAAACCAAAAGTCCACAAAAACACTTTCACACTTAAAAGTCAAGAAAAACAACTCTAGCATCTTAAATACTAAGGATGACCAACACTTTCCCCAACTTCAACTAAATCCCTAAACCACCAAGATGAGACCTACCCGACACCTCCTTATATCTCCTCCCCTTATGACACCGACTCTGGCAAATAGATTTGAAAATTCACGAACTTTTCTCTCTTTTCTCTCATTTTGCCTAGGAGCCCTTTCGGGTTTTCATCCTAGCCTCTCATCTTTTTCCAAATCTCACTTCCTCACCCACTCATTAGCCACTTTTTTTGCTTAGGTCGCCCTTTCGGGTTTTCAACCTAACCGAGCCCCCATTTTTGCCTAAGCCGCCTTTTTAGGTTTTCGACTTAGCGGGTTTCTTTTTTTTTTTTTTCTTTTTTTTCATTTTGCACTTGTTTCATTGAGCTACAATTGAAATAGTTATACAAAACATGAAATTAAGATAACTATACAAAATTCAAAAATATATGCAATGAAAAGCTTCCCCCCCTACTTAAATGAGGCATTGTCCTCGATGCAAGAACAACAACAATGAAACCAAAAGTAAGGGAAAAGGAAGAAAATCGTTACCACCTCAATGAGAGGGACCTCCAGAGCCGGAAGAGCCGGCATCACCCCGAGAAGCACGCCTCTCGGAACGACGCAAAGCACGGGATGCGAGGTGTTCCATGAACGCCTCAGTCGGGGGCTCATACTGTGGATATTGAGCGGTGTAGAACCGACTCATGCTTCTCTGATATGCAAGCAGCTCTTGCATCCCATCGCAAACCTCCTCCAGTCTATCATCTACCTCAGCCCTCCATCGAGGCCAATCATCATGCCGCACTTCAGCAGCATCCTCACCCCCTTCTTCATCCACATACTCCCCGCCCATTTGAACATCGGGATTCTCCTCCCCCATGTTCTCAACTATCACTTCGGCATCTCCTAAATAAGGAGAAACATCTGGGTCGCGCGCAAGGAGGAAGTCTGTGATGGCAGGGCCATAAGGCAAAGCTCGTCCCTCGGGACGAGGAATTCTCAAATAGTTCAGGCCCTGTGGCCCATATCGCCAGAAATAACTACCGACGACGGGGGAACGCGATAACAAACCAATCTTGACCAGAGTCATGATGTTATAAGTTAGGTACGTCGAATCTACTGGCACAAGATCTGCGGGGGGTGGAACATTTAAATAACAAGCGAGCAGGGAGACCATACCACCCATGCTAATGTGGCCACTTGAATTTGACCGCACTTTCACACAGCTATCTACAAAAATATCGACCCAATTGGGGGTGCCGACACCCTCAGGGGTCATCGCCCACAAATAAGATAATGTAGCCTTGGGAACCTTAGTAGCTTCTCCTTGACATAGTATGGTGGACGAAATAAACCTATGAACGAGTCTAAGGCATGGGTGAGTGATCTTGAAGCTATGATCACCATGAGGGTCAACTTCACAACCAGTTATAGCCCTCCAAAATGTTCGGGACGAGTACGTGCTATAATCACCCCAATGGTTCACCAATGGGGGTGCATCCCAACCAAAGGCCATTCTAATATCATCATATGATACAATATAATTCCTATTATTCAAATTAAAGGAAATTTGATCACGTCCTTTAGTAAGAGTTGCAAGGAATTCGTACGTATACCTGACATAGGTCGGAGCACATTTGGTGAAGAAATTCTCTAGCCCCACTTTCCTTAGCAAAAGCCTCACCACTTCCTCCATTTCAAGCTCTTGCAATTCTTCCAAATCAAAAAAACTTAGTACATTGCACCATTCGTCGCGGTTGTTGAAGCCTAGTCCAAATACCCTTCTCCTTGGAGTTCAACCTCACACCCATGAAGGCATCTCCTTGAGGCAATGGAGGTGCCTCACCATGACTAGAAGAAGCACCTTGCTTCTTGCCCCTTGGGGGTCTTGATGGAGATGATGCTTTAGACCTCTTGTTGTCTTTACCCATGGCTATAAAAAGGAATATGTTCACTTGCACCTTCACCTTCACCTTCAATGAAAATAAATTAAGCTTGCAATTCCACACAACCAACTCAATTTCACAATTGAAATCAAGAAAAAATGGTAAACCTTAGGTGAAATTGTGATGGGAATTGAAAATTTGATGAAAGATGAAGATTTGGGAAAGGGAAATTGGTAGGAATTTGGTATAATTGGAGTAGGGGAATGAATGAGTAGAGAGAAGGAGAAGAAAAGGAGTAAGGGTTTATGTGAATTGGGGTTGAGGGAAGAAATAATGAATTTGGAGTTGGAAAAGAGGAAATAAGGGGAGAAAAAAAAACTCGGGGAAGCTGGTGGAGCCGCTGGTAGCGGCTTGAGGCCCGCTGCCAGCGGCTCTGGCAGGTTTTGGGAGATTTTTGGGCTGGAAGACCCGCTGCCAGCAGGTAAGGGGCAGCTGGCAGCGGCTGATGCTGAACCAACTTTTTTTTTTTTTTTTTTTTTATTTTGAAAAAAAAAAAATAAAAACGTAGAGGGGGGTCCCGCTGGCAGCGGCTCAGGAGCTGCTACCAGCGGCTGGGACAGAAACAAAGGGGTTTTGGCTGTAAGAAGACCCGCTGGTAGCGGCTGCAGAGCAGCTGCCAGCGGCTTCTGCAGGGAAGGCCCCCCTTGTCTCTGTTTTGCTCTGTTTTTGCTGCGTTTCGCGCATAAAAATTGCTCCTAAGGCCTCCACCTACACAAAAACAATAAAAACACTCTTCACATCACACGAAAAAATAAAAACTAAACTACGAAAAGTAATGGGGAAGAGTTTTCGATCGGGTTGCCTCCCGATTAGCGCCTTTGTTTTACGTCGTTGGCTCGACGCAACTCATCCCACTTCGCTACTCAGTTGAAGGCTCATAGAGGTCAATGCACTCTATGTTCTCGGATTTGAAACCATCAAAGTAGGGCTTGAGCCTTTGTCCATTGACCTTGAAGACATTGTCGGTCTCTAGGCTCTGAATTTCTACCGCTCCATGCGGGTAGACTTTCACCACTTGAAATGGACTCTCCCAATGGGAGCGGAGTTTATCAGGACATAATTTGAGTCGGGATTTTTATAGGAGGACTTTTTCACCGACTTTAACCTTCTTCCTAGCAATCATCTTGTCATGCCACAACCTATTCTTTGCTTTGTGGTATAAATGGGACAATTTCTTGCCCGGAATTGCAGACGGGCCGATTGTTGAACCTGGTGGTATAGGTGGAAGCTTGGAATGTTCATTCAATTCCCCCACCTTCACCTGCACATTAGTAGGCATAGAGAAATCCAAGCAATCACCAGATACAACATTAGTTATAGGTGTGAGGAACTCATCCCCACGATCATTGTTAGGAACATCATGCACCATTGGATCGACAACATTAAGAGAACATAAAGAATGAGTGTTGACAGGATACTTTATGGAATCATAAATGTTATACCCAATTGCTTTCCCATCAACCTCCATAGTCAAGGAACCGGTAGACACATCGATTTTTGTTTTAGCAGTCTTCAAGAAAGGTCTTCCTAACAAGATGGGGACTGCTTGTTTGTCATGTTCCATGTCAAGCACATAAAAGTCAGCAGGAAAAATCAAACCATCAACCTTAACCAACACATCTTCCACCACCCCCTTAGGATACACATTAGACCTATCCGCTAACTGAATCACTACCCCAGTTCCATGTAAAGGTCCAATTTTTAAAGATTTAAACAGGGAGTAGGGAATGAAATTGATTGATGCACCTAGGTCCAACATAGCTCGGTGCAATGTGGTGTCTCCTATTGTAACAGGAACAATAAACATACCAGGATCACCACATTTTTCTGGGATTTTCTTTTGGAAAACCGCAGAAACATGAGCACTCACCTTTACCTTCTCTTTTCCTCCCAACCTATGCTTTCTATTGATAGTACACAGTTCTTTCATAAACTTAGCAAAACGAGGAATACTTTTAATCACATTCAAGAGGGGAATATTTACCTCACATTTGCTAAAAGTCTCATAAATATCCTTGTCTTTCTCATACCTCTTTGTTTCTTTCAAAGCTTCAGGAAAAGGTGGTGTGGGTTCATAAGATGGAAAAGTGGGAGGATTTGCTACAGCTTCATGTTCCACTTCCTTCTCTTCAGTTCCAATCAAGTCTTTAGCCCTCTTAGTTGCAACTGCAGTTTCTTGCAACTCTTTGCCATTTCTCAATGTTATTGCATTGACCTGTTGCTTAGGATTCAGCTCCGTTTGAGATGGAAGCTTCAAGTCGGCTTACTGCACTAGAGATTTGACTAAATTGATTCTCTAGGTTTTGAATACTTGATCTGGTTTCTTGCTGAAATTGCACCATATTTTGCTGCATAGTAGAAACATTAGAAGTTAATGATCTAATCATTTCTTCAGTTGACATATTATTAGAATTTGAGCTTTGGCCTTGAGGTTTGGGTAATGGTGCCCTATATTGCTGATACTGTTGCTGGCCTTGAGCATTTTGTTGTTGTTGGTTCCCTTGGGAGTTCCCATATCTCAAATTTGGATGATCCCTCCATCCTGGATTGTATGTATTTGAATAGGGATCATATCTTCTCTGAGGACCTTGCCCTTGGAAACCCATTGCATTTGCTTGCTCATTCTGCTCCTCTTGTAATTGAGGACATGCATCAGTGGGATGTCCCATGGAGGTGCATATACCACAAGCATTCAGTTGCTGCGGATTCCTTGAGTTCACCATGAACTCACGCATCATAGAAGTCAAATCAGCTACTTGACTTTCTAACTCAGACGTATTTGAATTTGCTGCATTCACCCGGCGCGTGGGAGTTCTCTGACTGAATTGCCTAGAATTTTCTGCTAGCTCTGCAATCAGCCTAGTTGCATCTCCTGGAGTCTTATTCACTAGCCCTCCTCCACTTGCTGCATTCACCATCCTCAAGTCATCATCAGTTAGACCTCCATAGAAGTATAGGATGAGGTCTTGATCGGAATACCCATGGTAAGGAAAACTAGCACACAATCTCTTAAATCTCTCCCAATACTCATACAAGGATTCATCTTCCTTCTGATCCACATTGCTGATAGCTTTCTTAAGGCTCGCAGAAATAGTGGCTGGGTAGTACTTCTCAAGGAAACACTTCTTCAAATCTGCCCAATTTGTTATGCTACCTGGGGGAAGATAGTAAAACCAATCCTTCGCTGCATCCTTGAGAGAGAAAGGAAATGCTCTCAACTGAATTTGCTCGTCAGTCATCCCAATCGGTTTCATGCTGGTGCATACCACATGAAATTCTGCCAGTTGTTTATTCGGATCTTCACCCTTCATGCCATGGAATGCCGGCAATAGATGTATTAGACCAGATTTGATCTCAACATTAGTACCTTCCTCCAATTGCTGATATGCAATGCACAACGGCTGTTGGTTCAAGTTAGGGGCTGTAAGTTCTCTCAGTGTTCGATTTTCTGCCATCACCTCCTCTTCTTGAATGCTGAAAATGTATGTTAATTCACTGGGGGCTGTTCTTGCCTCTTTTCGCAACCTGGAAATCTTTCTTTCAATTTCTGGATCAAACTGCAAAACTTCTTTGTTAGCAGAACGGGTACTTATCATACCCTAGAGAACAAACAAAGAGAGTAACTAAGAACAATCCTAAAATAAATTCTACTAAGATAAACAATTAAAAAGTAACGCCTAGTCCCCGGCAACGACGCCAAAATTTGGTGTGCCTCAGTCGTATGCAACCAAAAATATCACAACTAAGCTAACTGCAAATAAACGTAGTTCGGGGAGTCGAGTTCGAATCCACAGGGAAAAAGGGACTAATAACTGCAAACCTAAGTGGAATTACTCTAGGAACGTAGTAATCTAAGTAACAAGGGGGTTTTGACAAGCAATGGTGACAATTAAACTAAATCAGAACAATGAACGTAAATAGTATGCAATCAATGAGAATAACGGTCTTGGTTATGCGAAATCCACAATTGAACATACAAATTGATCATAGAAGCCTCTTCAATCAAACACTATTGAACACCTTGTTGTAGAATTCTAAATTCTAAATTCTCATAAGCTAGTTAGAAATAGCAAAGCGCTCCTTTCTAACCCTTTCTAATGTATAATTTAAGACAAGCGCTCTAAATCATCCACAAGAAGAACATAAACGGAGAAATCAACAAGGATTGAATAAATTAACACAAGCGGTCTAATTTCTTCAATAATATTATTCCCTCTTTAAGTTATCAATCAAAAGCATGCATTCATAACCCAAAGTTTCTACTTTGGAAAGATTAATTAGATGCAAGCGAATCTAACAATTCTAACCTAGCAATTGATTAAAGCAAATCATGAAATAATTCAAAGGAATAATAAACATTCAATAGATAATAAAGAGAAGAGAAGTCTCACAATTCGTAGCCAAAAGCTTCAATCTTTAACCAAGAATCCGGAAGATTAAGCTTCCATGGATTCTAATTCCAAAACAAAGAATTCTGGAAATTGCCAAGAAAACCCTAGAAAGCTTTCACTTCTCTAAAACTTAATACTCATTAACATCCCATTAATTTCAATAATAATAAACTATTTATATGTTTCTATACTTTAATAACATAAAAACAATAATAATAATAATATAAAATCCAAAACACGAGCTAAAGCCGAGCCAAACTGCTGAAAAAGAGCCAAAGAGTCCCGAAATTCTGGAAGAGCCGCTGCCAGCTGCTCTGGACCCGCTGGCAGCGGCTAAGGCAGCAAAACGCTTCCTTCTTCTGGCTGACCTGCTGCCAGCGGCCCTTGGCAGCGGTTCCTGCTGTTGTAGCTCTCTTTCCTTGCTTCTTCTTCTAGCTTCGCTTCACCTTTTCCTCAAGCCTTCCTCCTTGCTCTTCCAAGCTCCATCACAACTCTCAAATCACGAGCCAAGATCCATCCTCCATATTTCTCCTCATTAGTTCCCGAACTCACTCACTAACACTCATAAATCCCGTCTTTTGCACATAAGTGAGATCACCGCCCGAAACTCACAAAAGGTATTAAAAACTCATGCACAACATCAAAACACACCCTAAAACTCTTCTCTCAACCCTTAATAAAAGGCAAAGATGTTCCCGTTCCCTCCTTTCGGTATGACGGGTAGGTCAGGCCCTTAGGGTTCCGTCTGAAGCTGTGTGAGCTTTAACTTCAAATTCATTCTCAGTATTTTGGTCCGACTGAACTAGAGGGTCGTCCAGGGGACGTCTCTCTTCAGGAGCCGGTACAAACGTGGATGCCATCTCAGAAGTACTCTCCCCACAGACGGCGCCAAAAATGTTTCGGGGTTTTCTGGTGTCCTGCGGGAGAGTTACAATTCCGAGACTGGAACTGGACGCCTGTACCTGCAAAACAAACGGATGCTCCGGATGATTGGAGATCCGCCTCCGACGGTCAAGTTAGTACTTGTTTAAGGAGTAATTAATGCGGAAATTAAAGTGTTTGGGTCTCTCTAGGTGAGAGTGTTTAATGTGTGTAATCTCCGTAATCCCCCTTAATGAGGATTAAGGGAGGTATTTATAACCTCGGGAAACGCGCTAATCCTAGGTTTAGGTTAACCTTGGGCTGATTGGGCTTCCCTCGGAAGTTGGGCCTAGGTGGCCGACTTCTCCATTAGGCATGGAGTATGCCACGTGTCATGACATAATAGGTCCAGGGTGGACGAATAAGCGTGTGCCACGTGGCAAGCCCTGAGAGGTCCAAATGGGGGACACTTGGCAGGACCTGATTGGCCCACGTGGCGCATTCCGATTGGTGGGAGCAAAATCCCCTAATCAGACATGATTTGTGTTCCAAACCCTTTAGCAATGTCACTAACAGCAAGAACTTACTCAAGGCTCTATTAGATAGAATCTTGATAGATGATCGATTCTGAATCGTTCTAAGACAAGTAAGTCTTACTTGTTGAAATCGACAAACAAAGGAGCTATTGTGCTTGGCAAAGACAATTGACTCCAAAAGCTAAAGAGGATTCCATTACTTCAACGTCTCACAAGAATTTGAAAGAATGTGGCTACATTCATCAAATGTGAGCAAACTGGACCTTGAGTAGCTCAAATGTTCGGTGAAGTATAGAATCGACTTGGCAAGATATCACAACGTCTAGCTAGATTAGATTGAGCGATGTTTGCTTGAGCCAAGTGTGATCACATCAAACTTATGAAATTGAAATTTCACAATAAACTCCACAAAGAACATAGGGTGTATGCCATGATATGTACAATTGTATGCCCTGAGTGCAACGGGCCGATACCAATCGAACCCAAGAGAGGCGCATTGGACTGCGGCCAAGAATATCCTAAAGTACCTGAAAAGGAACAAGGATAAATTCCTGGAGTATGGAGGCCACAAGGAACTGGTTGTTTTGAATATTTCTATAAATCGAATGGACTCATTATTTAACTCGAAGTCACAGTCAGGATACGTATTCTGTCTGAATGGAGGAGCGTTTAGCTAGAAGAGTGCCAAGTAGAGCACCACTGCAGAGTCTACAACTGAAGCCGAGTACTTGGCAGCTTCTGAAGCTGCCAAGGAAGCTGTTTGGATTCGCAAGTTCATCAGCAAACTTGGTGTTGTACCCTCAATCAAGGGGCCGATAGACCTCTATTGTGATAACAATGGAGCTATCGCTCAGGCCAGGGAGCCGAGAGAACACCAGAAGGTCAAACACGTGCAAAGGCGATTTCAAGCACATTGAGGCAATGGAAATCCGAAGGTGAAATCAGAATTTGTAAGATTGGCACAGATGATAATGTGGCCGATCCTTTGACTAAACCGCTGCCTCAGGTGAAACAAAACAAGCACATTCAGGCAATGGGAATCAAGCATGTTGGAGACTGGCTTTGAAATTCTCTGTACATGTGTTTTAATTAAATACGATGTTTAATGTAAGACACTGTAATGAAACCATTCATTTATGGAGTAATTAATTTTTGCGCAAAATTATCATTCACTCCATTTCTATTTAATTGTGGTTTAGAATTAAATAATGATTCCATTCGATTTATAGAAATATTCAAAACAAGGTTTCAAGACCATGTCTTGGATAAAGAAACACCTGTTAAGTGAACATTGAATATTTAAATCGAAAGTTATCCCTAATCGAGGTCATCTAAATGATGGATGATTGATGACCACCAGAGATTAGTGTGTAGTATGATTTACAGCACCGTTTCTTGTGCTGCAAGGACGTGACAGTCATAAATCATTTGCACAGGTACAGTTTGGAACTGTACTGGATAAGACCTATGAGAGTACTTTAAGAAATTTCAAAATTGTCATAAGTACATTTCTCATTATGACTATCGAAACCTGTTTCCTCCGACCATGAGTATTGTGAAGTTTTCTTGTTTGAGTACTAGACTCTTTGATGTTTCCTAACGTCTGCCGTAACTGGGGATCATAACGGGAACACTCGAGAGACTAAGTCCTCTTAGTAAGAGGAACTTACAATGCAAGACTGGGATTGTCCCCTATTAACAATAGGGAAAATGTTTTGTTGTTTACAAGGCCGCTCGAAGAGCGAGACTGTGAAAATGCATGGCCGTGCTCAAATGGATTTTAGAAATCATCTGGTTATTGACAGTCGAACTCGGAGATCGAGAAACACTTCTGAACGTAATAAGGATGACGATGAATCTTACCTTATAGTTCACGAAGAAACATTAAGAGACATAGGAAATGGGCTATACACTGTATGCACACTTGTCCGGAAGGACAAGTGGGAGATTGAAAGGAATGGTGTCCTTGCAACAAGTGTATTCTTTCGATAGAGGGTTCAGAATTATTACAGAGTTTTTCTTCAATAAGATCAAGTGATCTGAATGCCTAGGTGGAGGCCGCTTCCGATCAGTAGTATCAAGGTACAATTGATATTACAGCTTAATCTTAACTGAACCCTTCAGGTCGAAGCCAATCGAATCACCGATCCGAGACGACGAATTAATCCGAAAGGATTTAATGAGTCGACAGAGTTTGACGAATACAGACGTCGGATATCGAGCCTAGGATGTCGAGGCCGAGCGTCGCAAAATCACAAGCGACAAGTACGAGCGTAGTCGTAGCACCACAATGGTCTAACCATGTGGATGCTAGGCTAGTTCGAGCTAGCATGCACCTAGCATGGCTAGGCGCAAGCCTAAGCACACTAGGTGTGCTAGGCGCACCATCGCAGCCCATCGCACCATCGTAGCACAAGCACATCATCATCGCATGGCTAGGCCAGTGCGTGTGTGCGTGTGCTTGTGCCTTAGCCTATCGCAGCATCGTAGCAACATGGCTGCGCATATGCATGCTTTCGCATGGCACTGCACCGCATCATGCGTGGCTGGGTGCTAGGCACCATCGCAGGCCCCTCGCACAAGCACAACACTATAGCATGGCTAGGCCAGTGCGTGTGTGCGTGTGCGTGGAGGGCATCGCAGTGCAGCACCAAGCATTCGCATAGC